TTTTTTTTTCCCTCAACATTTTCCTTCAGTCAATAGTCTGGGAGGTCCAAGTTGGATAAAAGATATTTTTTAACACTCAACAAATGATGGTGAATCAAATTATAGAGATTCACAACTTGGCATTGTTAATGTTTTTAATAACTGTTGTCTGTAACTCATATTTCATGTAGAAAATTTAACAAAATATTTAAAACTTGACTGCCCGAAGAGCAAATTCCTTCTATTAAATGCTTCAGAAGAATCAGGACATTCTAAATAATACACATTCTGTTTGTTTGAATAGTAAAATAATCTGTTTGGATAAGATTAAACATGGGACTATAATTAACAACGATGTTGAAAGGAGAAGAAAGGACCTCCAAAGATCTACCAATGTATTCAAAAGTCTTTTATTTTTCAAAATGTGTGTTAAGCACATCTTGAAGAAACACCCAGAAGGGTCCCCACCAAAATGCTCATGGTCTAGCTCTGGGATACTGGGCTCTGAGGTTTTTTTGGTTTTCTTTTCTGCCTTCCTAATATTTAGAAAATGATCATATTATTTTGCAACCTTTAAAACTTTACTAAGAGTTCTTGGTTAAACGTAATTAGGACTTAACAGTTATGAGGAAAAGAAAAAGATAGACATCCCATTAATGTGTACTTTTTATGTATCAGCTAAAAATAAATTTATTTAAAAAGGAAGAAAAAGAGATATAGAACTTACACAGATGATAAAACAAAACCAAAGCCAAACAGTTAATAACCACCCGTGGGAGAAGAAAGGGATATGAAAAAGCGGAAATCAAGCTTTAAACCTATTGAGTTAGGTGGTGCAATTTGCCAGAACGAGAGAACAGGACACACTCGGGACAGTCAGATGGCAGACTTCTAGGAAGTTCTGCTCATCAGGGGATAGGTTCTGGATAAAGAGCACAGAGTGTTCATTTAAGAGCCTCCCTGGGCTCCACCCTTGCCAGTCATCTGAAGCCCCTCCCCATCCAGGGAAAAGCCCCTTCCACAGGCCCCAGGGTAGGGTCTTTAAAGATCTTTAAAGATGATCTTTAAAGATGCAAATATCCATGGTCTAGGTTTGAAGTCAAGATAAGTAGAAATATTTCCCCTTGCAAGATAAACACACACTTCTCATTCCCACTTTCCTTTTAAAGTCTGAGCTGAAAGAGGTTTTGGTAAGGCCTATTATTTTAAGTTTGACAAAAAAAAGTTGTGAAACACGTTATATAGCACTTAATGGTTTGACCAAATTGCATTCATGGACATTATTTCATTTAAGTGCTCAAAAGGTTCTTTGGAATTCTTATTAGGCTCATGCTACAGAGGAGCAAATGAAAACGAAGAAGTTTCATTTCATTACAGTTATGTCAGTAGAAGCTGGCAGAGGCGGGGCTTGAACCCTGTGCTTTGGACACCACCACAGGCACAGAACTACTCTGTTCACTGTGGTCTTCTAGGGGGTAAGGGGATTACCATTTTCTTCCAGCAGGCACACCACGGCATGGGTGTCAAAGTAGAGGTTCCTAATCCCAGAGGAGGTGAACTCGGTCCTCCTGTGCTCCAGCTGCAGGCACCCCGCAGACAGGCTCAGCTCTGGAATGGAAAGGAGAGCAGGGTCAGAACAATGTGGCCTCCCCCTCAGCTGCAGGCCTGGTGACCCTGCTGAATTTCCAACCCATCACAATCTTCCTATTTTTGAGGTCAGGATACCTGAAGGACAGAAGTCCCTCTTCAGGTGGCTGGCTGAAACTGGCTAGATAGAGATGGCTGCTAGTGTCCCTCAGTCAACTTCTAATGTCACTATAATCCCAACTGCATGCTAAATGACACCCCTAGTGACATGACAGCAGACAAATGCCATGACAATGACAACAGAAAAGAGCCAGAAAAGAAGCAAAAAGTGGTGCCTGAATACCTGGAAGACCCACGCCCATTCCCAGAAAA